AGGGAAAGAAAGAATGCAGTAGTGGTCTGTGCATGGCTTGGTGCCTGCTAACCTTTTTGAATCCTGAGTGCACTATAAACCTCTCAGCCATAGTTAGTTTTCCTCTCCAGCTCCCTGGCTCCATGAGTTTCCCATCTCCCCTGAAGCCTTTGCAATTTCTCAGTGGAAAAGCGTTTCTCCGTGGCTCTGCTCCAAGAAAAAGCTTCGCAAAACATCCCGGATTCCTCCTTCCCGAAATGCTGACAAGTATGATGCATTTGGTACAGACTCCCAAAGTGATTCCAGCTAAATGTGGTCCATCATCTTCAGAGTCAGTGTCACTCTGATGCTCAGATGGCACAGGCAGGATCCAAATCCTTTTGCACTGACACCTTGAAATCTCTTCCAGTGTCTTCGCATGTCGCCTCTATAAGTAGCAAGTTTCCACGGAATGCAAAGGGTATAAATGGAAGGCTGCAGGCAGATGTTTGAAGGAATTAGGCTGCCTTTCATTGCCAGATGTGCAGGGCATCGCTGCATGGTGAGAAAGAATTGCTGAAAATCAGTGGACTGATGAGGGCTTTTCTTGTCATCCCTGTGCCCAGGTGAACACGTGTCAGGCTTTTATAATTTGTGCTCCTTTCCCAGATTTCCTTTCTGTTCCCTGAATGCATCGAAGTTGACATGCCAGAAACGTAGCACACTTCCACTGATTATATGGGGTTTTTTTGTAAATTAGGGGGTTTGACCCCACAGGGTGATGGGGATAGGGAAAATTGCCAGAGCGACAGGTCATTTTCACAGTGACGTTAGCAAGATGGGTTATACTGGGAAGTTACTTTGTGTTTGGCCATCTCGGTTTTATTAGATAGAGCAGTATTTAACAAGTGTAAGCTGTCAGGGAAGGGGTTGACCTTGTAAGAACCATACAAATCAATAAATAAACAGAATAGCTTTCTTTTGTAGCTTGTGCTGTTTATTTTAGACCTCTGTGAAGGAATCTTACTTTTTTTAGAGAAGAGCAATGAATTGTTAAAAAATAAAAATAAAATCATGTTTTGGTATTGATAACCCTCTTTTCTTCATGAGCGTTGCAAAGTTGATCAGACCTTTGATCTCCAAAGAGCCTCCAGAAGATAAAAGTGGCTGAACTATAAATTCCCAGAAGGAAGGAGATGTGCTTTCCACTTGAGACCTCACTAGTATTTATCTGGATTTAATTTGATGAACTTTCAAGTCCTTTCACACATGCAGTGAAAGACCAAAGTGATCCGAGTGTGGAAGCTGTGGTTGGAGGGAGACTGCTCAGTCCCGTCTGCGGCTGCTGGAGCCCTGCTCATCTTGGTATCAATAATGGGACAGCTTCAGTCATCTATAAATGTCAAAGATTACACAGTTCCTTTCCTAAAAGTGTTTTTTTTTCCTTCTAGGAAAATTTGCTTTCATGTCTTTTGCAATGTAAAAGGTGTTTCTGAGACAAGTCAGAGCTGGTCCCATGAGGCAGGGAGGGAGATGACCATGGCTGTTCCCAGAGCGTGGAGCCACAGGAATGGGATATGGGAGGCCACGAGCAGTGAAGCTGCTTTGGTGCTGCTTTGTTGCTTGCTAAAAAAACCCCAAGAAAAATGGTGTGTGATAGCACAGAGCCATCAGTTGGATCCTGTCACTGCCAAACATGACTCCAGTATTTCAAGGGCTCGTTTGAGGACTCTGGCTTCAGTCCTCCTGCCCGCTTGTCATGTTTTATGGTGGTGTTTGCTTAATCTTTGTTTGTGTCCTGCAACCAATTAATGGAGCCGAGGTCGTGTCCTGGGAAGAAGTTCGTGCCCGGCACCCCCCTGCGCTGTCTGTCCAGCCATGGGTCACCCCTTCATGGGTCACCCCACTGTGCGTCACCCATGGATTAATGAGAAGCTGGTGCCTGTCCCAGTCCTGAGGAGCACAGATCATCTCCCAAGCCAGCGTCCTGGCCAGCCACCAAAACCAACATTTGCACAGCTTTAAAAACTGCCACTATTTTTTCATACTTCTCAAAAAACAGTGTTATCCCGTTTACAGCTCCATTTTACCATGTTCTTTCCACTTACTGGTTCCACCTGTCACTGAATTTGCTTTAGTTCACTAAAGCTTGACACTCTCCAGCATCTCTCTCTCAGTTTTCTCTCTTTCCCCTCCTTCCTTTTTGTCTTGGTGTATTTATGCTGCTGTGGAACTGCTGTTGCTCCCAGATTTAACAAATCATTCTGGAGCTAGTAATTAGCAACAGTTGTGCTAAAAGGACCCATCAAGAATGTTAAATTAGTCCACTTTTAAATAAACTGTGTATGAAATGTTAGACCTCTGTTCCCAAAGCACCAGTAAAAGCGCTGCTGGCTCTTTGCTAACAGAGCCAAAATATGGGAGTAGCATGTTTGTAACTACAGAGACAATTCTGTGCTCTCGAGGTTATAAATAATGACAGAGCATTTACAAAGCAGATGTCAATAGGACTCTTTAAAAAACATTGTTTAAAAAAAAATTTTGAAAACTTGTTTCTTTTTCTCCTACTTTCATCTCTGTTCCCAGTTAGATCCCTGCTGCGCCCCTTTCCTGGTTGGTTTGGTTTTTGCTTTTTGGTTTGGGGTTGTTGGGGTGGTTGGGTGTTTTTTTCATATTGAGCTTGGTGATTGTTATCCATTCTTTGATTTGGGGCATGGCAGCAGAGAAGAGGCTGAGCAGATGGCTGTCCTTAAGCTGACAACAGTTTGGTTCCTACTACTTTGGCAGTCCTTACTACCGAGGAAAGTCCTTGAGGGGGGACTCTTGGGTTTCAGTGCTGCAAATGGCCTTTGTTGAAATGAAAATGAAAATCTGGGCGGGCAGAAGCTTGTCTCGATCCTTGCTTCTTACCTGGAGCTTTGGGAAGGGATGAGCCAGCTATGTGCATTCAGTGTTTTACCTTGGTGGTGGTTTTAGGATGATTTAGCAAGTTGCTGATGCCAGAGCGTGGCTGAGGATGTCTGGGTCCTTCCATGTTCCCCCCAAGTCTTGCAGGTGTCACATCTCGTCCGTCCCCGTCTCCCCCTCATGACCTGATGATGCAATAGGGCTACTTTTTTAAAATATCCAGATTACAATAGCGACCTTTCCTGCCGGCTTCCTCTCCTTTGGAAAGGGCAGGTTCGTCCCCCTGCCTCCAGAACAATGGGTGCCTTTGTGTCGGCCCTGCGCAATTCCCCAAAGCCCAGGCATTCCCAGAAACACAGATGTATGAAGGGCGATAGAGCCTTATTGTGCTCTGAAACCATGGTGATGAGCACGCAGCAAATACAGAAC